CCCTCCTCTCGCGGTGAAAGGTCCCGTTTCCTGGTTATGGCTGATCTTCCTAGGGAAGGGAGCTTGCTCTGTGAACGCCCGGGGACCGGGCATCCCAGGCTCCGGTGTGCCTGGGGCGGCAGGGAGAGACGGGCTGTCACGTTGGCCATAACGCTTTAAGCCAAAAAATCAATTACGTTGTCAGAGTAAACTATAGACAGTGATCTGCAGCCTGGAATTAATCCGAGTGAATGGAAGGCTTTAGAGTCTGCTGCCTCGAGGAGGAGCTGCTTGAAAAGCATCTTAGTCGATATGTATGTTATTGTAGATGTAGGCGAGAGTCACAATTTGGTTTAAGTTTAAAACCACAGTCCAGTGTAATTCAGGCAAATTAATACTTTGAAATTAAGTAAGTGATTTTTATGGGCTGCTCTTAAAAGTGTTACAAAATTGACACTACAGTTGTTGCCTTCCACAAAGAAGTGGAAGGCCACCAGTAGTTTCAGTTCTGCATTGTCGTACGCTTTTTAATTGAAATCAGTCCAAAATATGTGTGCAGTCTTAGATTTGTCTTAAGAAGTTTAGCACTAACTCTATTTAAAATCAGAGCTCTCTGCTCATAGGAGAATTTGTGACTTTGTAGGTACCCTCTTCTTTTGTATGCTTTTTTCTAAGACCGAGACAACTGTTGACTTTTCTAAGCTAAGGATAGGGCCTTTTGACTAGAAAGTGATCATTGCATGAGACGTTCTGTAAAGTAACTTGAATTGTTGCTTAGGAACAGTGTGTGGGAATTCTTAAGCTGTATGGCCCAAAAGTAACCTCTGAGTTAAAACTATCTTGGGTATTGTATTTCTCAAATAGCAGGCTAGGGGAGAAGCTATTATGAAGTGAAAGTTCAAGTGTGTTGATAAACCTGTGCAAAACAATGGCAAGGTTTTTTTGCGCTGTCAACCTACGTGGTAAAAGGAGAGAACTCCTCTGACATTTTTTTTTTCTCCCTATTTCCAGTCCATACTGTACTTATACAGACTTATACAGAGGTGCAGCTAGTAAGATGTGTTTAGAACAGATAATAATTTAATTTAAAAAAAACAACAAACCTTTGTCCTTAACTGGAACTTTTAACATATAAACTACATGTCCAAATTCAGTTTTATGTGAGCTTTTCCCAGTGTTCTTTGTATCTTCATGTTCACTTTGTCTTTTAACTAATTTCCTTACAGTAAAATTTCTTGAAGTAATCAAGCCCTTCTGTGTTATCTTGCCTGAAATCCAAAAGCCAGAACGGAAGGTAAATTAATAAAATTCTCTTCATAGGTCTATATTTGTGTGGTATAAAATGTTTACAGCTTATTTTGCATTTGTGGGATTTTTTTTTTCCTTGTTGGGAGAATGGCAGTTTTAGGCACATGTGGAGTGCTTGTCTAGTACATCCTGTACTCTGGATGTGGTTGTACAAGAATATATTTGCTGGTAAATGGAATTGTGCAGATATGGTTATGCTGTAGCAGTTAAGTGGTGAGAAGTTGAAAGGAGTACATATTGAAGTGTAAACTAGAGTAATTTAAAATAGCAATTTGAAAAATCTCTGCTTCTTAAGTTCTAATCTAAGATTATTTGCTAAGATAAGCTTTTCTGTAGTTTTTTGGTTTTTTTTTTTTTTTACGCCAGAAGCTCTTTCTTTTGGAAATGTGATACTCATTTCTGTGGAAGTACTAGAATTACCTTCCATTGGTGTAAGCTTGCTTATTTGGATTAAAGTTTCAATAAAGCTTTGTCACTTTCTTTGGCCTTATGTAGTATAAAATGGATGAAGAGTGAGTTATTTTCTTTAGGATGTCCTGTACTTTGTCCCTTCATGAGAAGATCAAGTGTGCTTTAGCTACTGTGAAAGTTTGCCTGATTGACTAGGTCTTATTATCTTGACAGCTTTACCATCATTGTTTGTTTATGGTTTGTTTTTTTCCCTCCTCTAGATTCAGTTTAAGGAAAAGGTACTATGGACAGCTATCACACTCTTCATCTTTTTAGTATGCTGCCAGGTATGTTTCTTTCCTTTGTTTTTAAGGAAGAGCTGAAATGTTCAAAGGATGTTATGAAGTCTCTGATTGAATCCTGTTTTTATCTGTTGGCTGGAAATGCAGATTCCCTTGTTTGGTATCATGTCATCAGACTCGGCAGATCCTTTCTACTGGATGAGAGTGATTTTGGCGTCAAATAGAGGTATGGTCAGTCTTCCAGGCAGAATTTTTTTTTTTGTTTGGGTGAAAACGTTTTTGGACTTGTTCTTACATTGCACTCTATTTTAACAAAGAGAAAAACTGAGGGAGGGAAAAGTCATTTTATGTATTATGTAAAACCATAAACCGGTGTGGTATTGGGAAAGGCACAGCTTTGTGGACAAAATGAGTTTATGCTTGGCTGTGTGCAGTCTGTTATATGCACAAAAATTAAGGAGCATTTTGGAGGGAAAAGGGTTAGGGAAGAGACAGTTCCTAATTACCTGCATCACTGCTGTTGCAATCTTCTGTATGTATTTCAAACTTTTTGATTCACGTTTCAAACCATGTTATGTGTGTGTTGTGGTTTTCTGGGTGACATCTTTTGAGTCTGTCTCACAGAAGATTAAACTTCATGATAGTTTGTATAAATTTCAGTTTCTTGTAGAGACTAATGCAGGTATGAATTGAAGAATGGTGACAGTTTCCTGAATTCACTTTGTCATTATATATCATTTGGGCTATCTATGACTTCATATCATGATGAGGTGTGCATATATGTGTGCATGCAACTTGGTGCACTCCTGAAAAAAGCTTGGGTTTTCCTATTTAAAATTAGGAATAATACAGTGAATGATTGTCAGAGGCAGAAAGCAAATTCCTACCTTGCTTTATGCAGAGTAAATCTGTTCCTGACAGCAAAAGTCTTTTTTGGTGAACATAGTTTTTGAGGTACTGAGAAGTACTACATTACTTACCAGACTGACTTTTAACAAGTTTCTGTTATCATTGAAACCTTCTGTATTTATGGAGATCTGGAGTTTTATATCTTCTCCATCATGAATGTAAGGAGTGGAAAAAACAAACTGAACTTCAAAGGTGCCTGGGTATGGTACACCCCATTATTTTCTTTCATTGTTTTTCCTGTGTCTGGCAGGTACGTTGATGGAGCTGGGTATTTCACCTATTGTCACTTCTGGGCTCATCATGCAGCTCTTGGCAGGTGCCAAGATAATTGAAGTTGGTGACACCCCAAAGGACAGAGCTCTCTTCAACGGAGCACAGAAATGTAAGTACCAGCTGGTATTAAAGGCTGATGTTTTAGAGTATCTAACCCTAACAATAGGAAATGTGAACTTACCACGTGATGAATGGTGGAGTCGGATAATGTGTTTCTGTCGTGCTATGTCTTCGTGTTGTGCTACAGATTTCTGTATTTCATTAGTCTTTCACTGACTGCTCTCTGGTTTGTTAGCTGTTAAGCTTCAGATAGGTTTGTAAAGGAAAAGTATCTGCAATTGGCATTGCTGCTGTAATCTCATTGGATAAACTAAGCAATATGCAGACTGTGGGGACCCAACCTTTGAACTGTGTGTTGGTCAGTGTTAACCTAAAAAAGTTAAGATGTTTGATGTAGTTGTTTTCACCTTGCAGTTTCAAGCATGGTTCTTTCTCAGCAATGAGAGATCTCTGTGCTCACTTGATAAATGGCTTTTAGAAAAATTGAAGTATTCTTTAGCTCTTCTGTGCTGTACTGCACTACTTAACTGATTGTTTTTACTGTAAAAAAAGAATCATAAATTGCTGAGGTACTATCTTAACACCCTTAGAGTTTTCAATATCTAAAGCAATCTTCGATGACCAAACCCACTTGCTTCTAAGTGTATTTGTTTCTGAAGTGTCTGTGTGTATTTTCGGTGCCAGATTTCAGACAACAAAGTTAACTTGCCCTTGAATTTAAACATCCTGTGACTTATTC